TTTTGGCAATCCCGCACCTCCTCCTAACTTCCAAACTATGAATTCTCTGCATTATATTCACACCACACATTGCCCTCAGACATGACATTTCCACTGCCTCCAGCCTTCTCCTCGCTGCAACATTCATCACCCATGCTTCACACCCATACAGGAGCATTGGTAAAACTATACTCTCATTCATTCCCCCTCTTTGCTTCCAAGGACAAAGTTCTTTGTCTCCACAGACTCCTAAGTGCACTGCTCACCCTTTTCCCCTCATCAATTCTATGATTCACCTCATCTTTCACAGACCCATCCACTGACACATCCACTCCCAAATATCTGAATACATTCACCTCCTCCATACTCTCTCCCTCCAATCTGATATCCAATCTTTCATCACCTAATCTTTTTGTTATCCTCATAACCTTACTCTTTCCTGTATTCACTTTCAATTTTCTTCTTTTACATACCCTACCAAATTCATCCACCAACCTCTGCAACTTCTCTTCAGAATCACCCAAGAGCACAGTGTTATCAGCAAAGAGCAACTGTGACAACTCCCACTTTATGTGTGATTCTTTAACTCCACGCCTCTTGCCAAGACCCTGGCATTTACTTCTCTTACAACCCCATCTACAAATATATTAAACAACCACAGTTGGCAGTTTGGAGGGATATGTTGTGTATCTTCATATGTGTATGCTTCTAAACTGTTGTATTCTGAGCACCTCTGCAAAAACAGTGATAATGTGCGAGTGTGGTGAAAGTGTTGAATGATGATGAAAGTATTTTCTTTTTGGGGATTTTCTTTCTTTTTTTTTGGGTCACCCTGCCTCGATGGGAGACGGCCGACTTGTTGAAAAAAAAAAAAAACACAGTGACATCACACATCCTTGTCTAAGGCCTACTTTTACTGGGAAATAATCTCCCTTTCCTACATACTATAACTTGGGCCTCACTATCCTCGTAAAAACTCTTCACTGCTTTCAGTAACCTACCTCCTATACCATACATCTGCAACATCTGCCACATTGCTCCCCTATCCACCCTGTCATACGCCTTTTCCAAATCCATAAATGCCACAAAAACCTCTTTAGCCTTATCTAAATACTGTTCACTTATATGTTTCACTGTAAACACCTGGTCTACACACCCCCTACCTTTCCTAGAGCCTCCTTGTTCATCTGCTATCCTATTTTCCGTCTTGCTCTTAATTCTTTCAATAATAACTCTACCATACACTTTACCAGGTATACTCAACAGACTTATCCCCCTATAATTTTTGCACTCTCTTTTGTCCCCTTTGCCTTTATACAAAGGAACTCTGCATGCTCTCTGCCAATCCCTAGGTACCTTACCCTCTTCCATACATTCATTAAATAATTGCACCAACCACTCCAAAACTATATCCCCACCTGCTTTTAACATTTCTATCTTTATCCCATCAATCCCAGCTGCCTTACCCCCTTTCATTTTACCTACTGCTTCATGAACTTCCCCCACACTCACAACTGGCTCTTCCTCACTCCTACAAGATGTTATTCCTCCTTGCCCTATACACAAAATCACAGCTTCCCTATCTTCATCAATATTCAACAGTTCCTCAAAATATTCCCTCCATCTTCCCAATACCTCTAACACTCCATTTAATAACTCTACTCTCCTATTTTTAACTGACAAATCCATTTGTTCTCTAGGCTTCCTTAACTTGTTAATCTCAGTCCAAAACTTTTTCTTATTTTCAACAAAATTTGTTGATAATAACTCACCCACTCTCTCATTTGCTCCTCTTTTTACATTGCTTCACCACTCTCTTAACCTCTCTCTTTTTCTCCATATTCTTCCCTCCTTGTATCACTTCTACTCTGTAAAAACTTCTCATATGCTAACTTTTTCTCCCTTACTACTCTCTTCACATCATCATTCCACCAATCACTTCTCTTCCCTCCAGCACCCACTTTCCTGTAACCACAAACTTCTGCTGAACACTCTAACACTACATTTTTAAACCTACCCCATACCTCTTCGACCCCATTGCCTATGCTCTCATTTGCCCATCTATCCTCCAATAGCTGTTTATATCTTACCCTAACTGCCTCCTCTTTTAGTTTATAAACCTTCACCTCTCTCTTACCTGATGCTTCTATTCTCCTTGTATCCCATCTACCTTTTACTCTCAGTGTAGCTACAACTAAAAAGTGATTTGATATATCTGTGGCCCCTCTATAAACATGTACATCCTGAAGTTTACTTAACAGTCTTTTATCCACCAATACATAATCCAACAAACTACTGTCATTTTGCCCTACATCATATCTTGTATACTTATTTATCCTCTTTTTCTTAAAATATGTATCACCTAATCCTATAATATGAAGAAAATGTGCTCTTCATTTTTAAAGAAAAAAAAAAGCAATTTTTTGTTTTCCAAATATTCGGAGCGTCACGCGAGTGAACTTAGATCTACGTTTGGACAGTTTAAGGGTTAATGAGCAGGCATTGTACTTCCTATTTCCAGTACTCAAATCCGGCTATATAAAAATATTTGGTTTCCCTGAATCCCTTCACTAAATATTAACCTGATCACACTCCAATAGCTTATCAGGTCACAAAAACTATTCATCTCCATTCACTCCTATCTAACACACTCAATCACGCTTACTGGAAGTCCAAGCCCCTTGCCCACATAACCTCCTTTACCCCCTCCCTCCAACCTTCCCCTACAGATTTATATGCTCTCCATGTCATTCTACTTTGATCCAATCTCTCTAAATGACCAAACCACCTGAACAATCCCTCTTCAGCCCTCTGACTAATACTTTTATTAACTCCACACCTTCTCCTAATTTCCACACTCCATATTTTCTACATAATATTTGCACCACACATTGCCCTTAGGCAAGACATCTAAACTGCCTCCACCCGCCTCCTTTCTGCAGCACTTACAACCCAAACTTCACACCCATATAAGAGAGTTGGTACCACTAAACTTTCATACATTCCCTTCTTTGCCTCCATAGAAAACGTTTTTTGTTTCCACATATACCTCAACTCACCACACACCTTTTATTCTTCATCAATTCTATGGTTAACCTCATCCTTTATAAACCCATAAACATATCTGAAAATATTCACTTTTTCCATACTCTCTCTCTCCAATGTGATATCCAATTTTTCTTTATCTAAATCATTTGATACCCTCATCACCTTTCTCTTATCTATGTTCACTTTCAACTTTCTACCTTTACACACACTCCCAAACTAGTCCACTAACCTTTGCAATTTTTCTTTAGAATATCCCATAAGCACAGTATCATCAGCAAAATTAACTGTCAACTCCCATTTTGTATTTGATTCCCCATAATTTAATCCCATCCCTCACCCCAACACCCTAGCATTTACCTCTTTTACAACCCCAACTATGTATGTAAGGGTATGTATGGGTATCTAAGGGTTGAGAGTGAACATAGGTAAGAATAAGGTAATGAGAGTATCAAGCAATTTGATAAATAAAAACTGGATATCACATTGGAGGGATGGATTATGGATGAAGTGAATGTTTTCAGATATTTGAGAGTTGACTTGTCAGCAGATGGGTTTATAAAGGATAAGATTAACCATAGAATTGATAAAGGAAAAGAGGTGAGTGGTGCATTGAGGTATCTATGGGGACAAAAAATGTTATCCATGGAGGCAAAGAAGGGAATGTATGAAAGTATAGTGGTACCAACACTCTTATATGGGTGTGAAGCTTGGGTTGTAAATGTTGCAACGAGGAGGAGGCTGGAGGCAGTGGAGTTGTCCTGTCTAAGGGCAATGTGTGGTGTAAATATTATGCAGAGAATTCCTAGTGTGGAAATTAGGAAGAGGTGTGGAGTTACTAAAAGTATTTATCAGAGGGCTGAAAAGGGGCTGTTGAGATGGTTTGCTTATTTAGAAAGAATGGAAAAAAGTAGAATGACTTGGAGAGCATATATATCTGTAGGGGAAGGAAGGAGGGGTAGGGGGTCATCCTAGGAAAGGTTGGAGGGAAAGGGTAAATGAGGTTTTGTGGACTTCCAACAAGCATTTGTGAGCGTGTTAGATAGGAATGAATGAAGACGAATGGTTTTTGGGACCTGAAGAGCTGTTGGAGTGTGAGCAAGGTAATATTTTGTGAAAGCATTCAGGGAAACGGTCAGCCGGACTTAAGTCCTGGAAATCAGAAGTACAATGTCTGCATTTTAAAGGAGGGATTTGAGATACTGGCAGTTTGGAGGGACATCTAAACTGTCATATCTAAGTGCCTCTGCAAAAACAGTGATTATGTATGAATAATGGTGAGAGCATTGAATGATGATGAAAGTTTTTTCTTTCTTTTTGGGTCACCCTGCCTCGGTGGGAAACAGCCAACATGTTAAAAAAAAATAAAGTAATGTAAGTTATTTAGCAATGATGTAAAAAAAAATAATGTTGAAAGAATTACTTGCACACAAATTAGAAAGAAAAACTATGTGGAAATTGATGATGGAAAAATAAGACAAATGCATTTTAAGGAAATTATTAAATACGTTTTGCCTACACAATAGGCTTCATCAAACAACAAACAGATCTGTTTGTGACCTGATAAATCCCATTGTTTGGGCAAAACATAGACAATAAAGGATCACATTATACTGCATTTGTCTTTATTTTAACATCCTGTCAGTATTTTATACCACTTATCTACAAATTAATGATCATGTGCAAGAAACATACAGGTTCAGTAACACATATGCAACTCACTGAAGAAAAAATTTGTAATGAAAGTGCACAACAATAATTTTTTAATAATCCAATCTACACTTTAATGCCTGAGTTAATACGATGAAATTACCTAGAATTAGGGGTAACATAATAGGCAACACAGCAACAGTTTGCTAGTCACATACCACTGCTAGTTGCTAGCTACTGTATTTCTATTTTCACAAGCTCAGACAATTCTAGTAAAGGTTTCATTCAGTTAAAGGTTCAACATATAAAATATATGGAACACCAACTTTATTATAAAGTGCTTTCAACTGGTCTAGCTGAAGAGTAAGGCCATCTGGATCTGAAGATTGCCCTTCTTTAACTATTTTACGGCCTGTTGCTATCACGCTTTCCACTTCTGATTTTACTTCACTGAGTGTTTGATACAAATCCTGTAAAAGATATAAAATAACTATATACTGTCTAATTGTAAAAATAATACTTTGCAAAAGAAAGTATGTACTGTAAAAAACAAAAAAGTGTCATAAAAAGATGTAAGCCTAGTGTCAGCAAAATCAAACCAGAGAACCATGCTTTTGGATAACAAAACAGAGTAACAAGCTAAATCATGAGCTGTCTACTCTGTCATCATACACTTACAGAAAATACCATATATATATACATCAATTACTTAGCCTTCTACAATTTACCAAACACTGATTTAGTTGTTCTTGAATCCCCTCAGGGTCCCCAGAATCCATATTTACTAGATGAACTCTCTGACCAATTTCTTGCAGCTGCTGGTTCACCTCAGTCAAACGTGTATCAAAATCACTTGGCTTCTGGCATATCTGCAATTTCATTTCAATCTCCTCATATTTTTTCTGAAAAAGTGAAGAATACATTAAAAGGTTATTCTCAAAATTGTAATAATTACACTGAATAGAAGCTTTTAACTTTCACTAGTCACACTAAACAAAACAACTTAAGTAAAACTGGTAGAATAGTGTAGAATATTTATTAAGCAAAAATATAACTGAAGAACAAGACAAAGATTGAGGAGGGGTAAGGTTAAACGGGGTAGGTAAGAAGGTTGGGAGGGATGAGTAGTGATGGAAAGAACCAACCTGTAGATGAGCAATTTGGTCTTCTAGTCGTAGTGCTGCTTCTGTCTTGCCCTGACTATGATAGACTTCAACCTGTGTCTGCATCTTCTTAAGCACAACTTGCTGTGTCAACAGCTCTTCTTGCACCTTGAAATTTGTTGTTATTAATCTTAAACTGTTTAGTACAAGGAGTTCTTTAAATCAGATATTAAACTTTTTAATTAATAATAAATAATATGCAATAAATGAGTGCAAAAAAGTCTGTTATATTATGTAACATGAATTAAAAGATATTATACAATTAAACTGCACTTTCAAACACTGTCCAAATTACTGCAGTATTATTTACAAGAAAATTAGCCTTTACACTCTCTAATATAAGACAAATATGTAATCCTGTGGAATATACAGAATTAAATTTTGCCAATTAAAACCAAACAAAAAATGTATATGCTCAACTTCAACTTTATTAACCAAAAAAACTCCTGCCTACTTTAATCTAGGAATGAGAGAAATCACTATTAGGTATGCAATAAAGACGCTGTAACTAATTAGTAAACCGCTGGATTGTTAACCATATAGTTAATATTTTGGTTTAAAAAATTTAAACATTTACCTGGACTTGATCCACCTGTATCTGGTTGGTGATAGCCTGAGTGAGGATTAAATCAGACTGTGCTAGATAATCCAGAACACTGACATACTCTCTTTCCCATGCCTGGGCTTCTTGTACACAACCTTCTAACCCAGACTGTTGTTCACTTGCCTGAATTAAAAAGACACATTATATTAACATTAACTTATCATAATGGAAATAAATGGTATAAAATACCGACACAATGGAAATATAAACACATATGCAGTATAATGTGATCCTTTATTGACAACGTTTCACCCACACAGTGGGCTTTTTCTGTGTGTGACTTGAAAAAGCCCACTGTGTGGGTGAAACATTGTCAATAAAGGATCACATTATACTGCATATGTGTTTATATTTCCAACTTATCATAATGTATCCTAAGCAAATATCTGCACAATAATATACTTCCATTCCTCAGCATAACTAATTTTACAATCTGATGTTGGTTTCATATTAACTAACTATGGTACAGTACCTATTTCTATTACACTCTCTCTCCCAACTGTAATGGGGTTGTATATGGAGTCTTCGTGTAGCTATAATTTTCCTACACTATGCGCAGCAAACATTCACTCTTCCTCTTTCCCCAACCATTCCTTTTCATCTTTTCCTTGTGATTCCTTATGTATTTTACTCGTACACATTATTTAATGTCTGTTTTTACCCATACAGTTTTCTGAACACTTCAAACAAGTTTTATACAATAACTTTAGTGTCATATACCTATTTTGTTATTTTAACCTGCATTGTATCTATGTACACCAAGCCTAACAGTCTTATGACCCACCAGAGTAAGTCTGATAACTCAAATCTACCTGTGTTGTAGACGATGCAAAACTAATAAGGACAATATGAATAGAAAATGACTTTGGGAAACTATGGGAAACCCTAGACAAGCTGCAATAATGCTGAAGTGGCCATGAGAATTCAAACCCAGCAAACTGCAAAGTAATGAAAGTGAGTAGAGAATGGGAGAATGAGAACAGTGTAACTCCTGAAAAGGAGCATCTCATGAGTTCAAGCAGGGAAAAAAATGTGAAAACAGAAACCACACCAAACCTGTTTCAGACATGCAAACAATAACATCAGTGGAGTTTCCTAAAATAACAAATGTAGGAATAACCTTTAGAAAACTGAACAAAAAATGTTCTATTATTTACCATATGAGTATGACCAGCTCTTAATAATGTAGTGGTAATGAGAGTCCCATATCAATCCAAGCAGAAACATATAAAGAAAGCTTTGTTATCAACCCTTTCACAGTCACTCGTGTAAATCTCATTTTAATCGTAGGGCCCTCAATTATGCTATGACTGGTAAATTTTGGCCAAGGCCTGAAGGAATGGGTCTGTGCAGTGCATGTACACAGTATAAAAAAATTGTGCCCGATGCAGTATATGATGAGAACAACTAACCTCTAACTTCGTGTTTGGATTAAAACAGTAAATTTGAGGCATGTTTTAAGGTGGTTTTCACTGTTTTATTGGTTGTTTCTTGGTAACCATTGACAGAATAGTAGACATCCTAGTGTAATGTGGCCAATTTCAGACTGGAAATGGCTTGAAATAGGCCTCATAATGTTGGAAATATTCGATTTTTGGCGATTTTCATGAGGAAGGGTAGAGGCCCTGCTACCCCTTCCCCATTGGTTTGCTTTATGGGTGTTTAATAGGTCTACTTCAAATATTGGGATGGCCTAAACCATGACCAATCATTCTTGGTTATATTTTATTAACCCGAGATATAGGGTAAAATTCTTGATATTTTTATGTGATGATGAATTCAAAATGGAAAGCCATATAGGAAAGGTCTGAAACCTGTTCTGTGAACAGTGGAAAGGTTCCTTTAGTGGTTAAAATGCCTACAGTGTTTATTTTGGAGTCCTGTTTATAAATTAGAATTTGTTGAATTTTGTGTAAAACTAGCCAAATTACAGTCTTCTGGGCATTTTCTAGTTTTACAAGCTATTATGCATTCCATTCGGTAGGATGAAAGGCATACTAGTGAAACCAGCTAAGAACTGGGTCAGTCTGAGGAAGGTAACTGACCTAAAATAGGCTCGAAGTGAGTGAAATCACTAATGTGTAAACTGCGCCCAAACCACCAACTATTTGTTGCACAATTCCCTCAAATTTCACATTTCTGGTGTCATTACCTTTAGAGAAAGATTGTCTATCACTTTAGAAGATACATTTTTTATTATTTTTTTTTTAAATCATAACAGTGAAAGGGTTAATGGCCAGACCATACACACCCTCACAGAGCTATAACAGGGTTCGATCATATCAATTATTCAAAAGTAAAGCACGACCAAGAACTGAAGCTCACCCACCATAAACCCTGCACACATACACACATACATTAGGAGGGAGTGAATCTGTCAAGCAGCAAGATGAGAGGCAGGGCCAAGAGTTAAGACTCAACCCCTGTAACTACATATAGGTGAGTACACATAGGCAAGCACACAAACCCACACACACAAGGGGACTACACGGGAATGAGGAACTTCCTGAATGGGGTTCAATGGGACAGAGAACTGGCAGGGAAGCCAGTTAATGAGATGATCGAATATGTAGCAGTAATGTGCAAGGAGGCTGAGGAGAGGTTTGTACCCAAGGGTAACAGGAATGAGCCCATGGTTTACCCAAAGGTGCAGGGAGGCAAAAACCAAGTGTGCTAGGGAATGGAAGAAATATAGAAGGCAAAGGATCCAGGAGAATAAGGAAAGCAGTCGTAGAGTCAGAAATGAATATGCACAGATAAGAAGGGAGTCCCAATGACAATATGAAAACGACATAGCAGCGAAAGCCAAATCTGACCCGAAGCTGTTATACAGCCACATCAGGAGGAAAACAACAGACAAGGACCAGGTAATCAGGCTAAGGAAGGAAGGAGGAGAGACAACAAGAAATGACTGTGAAGTGTGTGAGGAACTCAACATGAGATTCAAAGAAGTGTTCACAGAGGAGACAGAAGGGGCTCCAGAATGACGGAGAGGTGGGGCACACCACCAAGTGCTGGACACAGTACACACAACCGAGGAAGAAGTGAAGAGGCTTCTGAGTGAGCTAGATACCTCAAAGGCAATGGGGCTGGATAACATCTCTCAATGGGTCCTGAGAGAGGGAGCAGAGGCGCTATGTGTACCCTAACAACAATATTCAATACATCTATCGAAACAGGGAGATTGCCTGAGGCATGGAAGACAGCAAATGTAGTCCCAATCTTTAAAAAAGGAGACAGACATGAAGCACTAAACTACAGACCAGTGTCACTGACATGTATAGTATGCAAAGTCATGGAGAAGATTATCAGGAGAAGAGTGGTGGAACACCTAGAAAGGAATGATCTCATCAACAGCAGCCAACATGGTTTCAGGGACGGGAAATCCTGTGTCACAAACCAACTGGAGTTCGATGACATGGTGACAGCAGTAAGACAAGAGAGAGAGGGGTGGGTGGACTGCATTTTCTTGGACTGCAAGAAGGCGTTTAACACAGTTCCACACAAGAGATTAGTGCAAAAACTGGAGGACCAAGCAGGGATAACAGGGAAGGCACTGCAGTGGCTCAGGGAATACTTGTCAGGAAGACAGCAGCGAGTCATGGTATGTGGCGAGGTGTCAGAGTAGGCACTTGTGACCAGTGGGGTCCCACACGGGTCAGTCCTAGGACCAGTGCTGTTTCTGGTATTTGTGAACGACATGACGGAAGGAATAGACTCCGAAGTGTCCCTGTTTGCAGATGACGTGAAGTTGATGAGAAGAATTCATTCGATCGAAGACCAGGCAGAACTACAAAGGGATCTGGACAGGCTGCAGACCTGGTCCAGCAATTGGCTTCTGGAGTTCAACCCCACCAAGTGCAGTCATGAAGATTGGGGAAGGGCAAAGAAAACCGCAGATGGAGTACAGTCTAGGGGGCCAGAGACTACAAACCTCGCTCAAGGAAAAAGATCTTGGGGTGAGTATAACATCAGGCACATCTCCTGAAGCACACATCAACCAAATAACTGCTGCAGCATATGGGCGCCTAGCAAACCTCAGAACAGCATTCCGACATCTTAACCCTTTGGGGGTCGATAGGTCCTCTCAGAGACTTGTTCTCAGGGTTGGCCAGATTTCAAAAAAAAAAAAAAAAAAAAAAATTATTTTTTCTTATGAAAAGATGGAGAATCTTTTCCCGATCATAATGACACCAAAAGTATGAAATTTGATGGGAAACTTACGGAATTATGCTCTCGCAAAGTTAGTGGTCTCAACGATGTTTACGCATCAGTGATTTTGCCCACTTTGAGCCCTATTTTCGGCCAATTCCAGGGTACTAGTCAACAAAAATCATAACTATTTCGCTAGAATTCCATTTTTTCTATTGAGTGAGTACAAGAAACCACCCATTTACTGATTTCAACTATCCAATAAAGTGGTCAGAATTTAGCAATTTTGCCAGTTTCACACAAATTTCAAAAGATGCCAATTTTCGAATAGGGTCCAGAATAAACAAGAAAGACATTCCTAGCACTAAACTAACAAGTTCTCTGTTCGTTAGTCACATCCCCAGGCCCCTCTTGTATTTCTTTGGCTTTCCACTTTGAATTTTTATTCTTACAAAAAAAAAAATAAGATTTACTGTTATGCAGACTACCGCATTATTGTAAAAATGGTATAAATAATATCAGCGCACTTGTGAAAGAATATTAGACTCGTCAGTTGATGTGTATTGGACGCTTGGCATGATTTGTTTACTTTTGAACTTTGGTAAAAATCGAACATTTCTGCTACTTTGAGCTCAATTTCAAGGTACTTTTCATTGTAAAACCAGTCAAAATCATCTCAATTTCTGTAATATGTCTTCCATTCCATAAAATGAGACCAAGAAAACTAGAATACAACAATAAATACCGTACAAAAATACAGTGCAAAGTCGCTGTTTTAATCCAAAACACGGTCAAAGTTTTTTTTTTCTCATTACGCACTGTGTGCTGCAGGATTTTTTTATACTGTGCACACTGACCACATAGACCCATTCTTTTATATGTAGGCCTACCAGCTTTCTCTCACTAGATTTGAGGGTGCTAGAATTTAGGCGTACTAGTACGTCAAAAACCCTGGGTTGTAAGACGTACTA